ATAGCTGAGGATGTCTCCTCCACCACCATGAAGTCCTACTGGCCACAGATTTCATAACAAACTGTTTTATTGCTTTTGGAGTATTATATTACAGAGATGCCAGTGCAGCATTTTTTAGCAGCACCAAACTGCAGAAAATACTGTATTCTAAACAGTTTGTTTTCCAGGATGGTACGCTTTTCTTTCACAGGAAAAACAGTTCCAGCTCTTCTATTGCACATACCCCTTCTATTCACTCCCTGATGTCCCTCTAACGTCTGCCTATTTGCTGCCATCCTTTGGCAGTCTCCAGGTAGAAAAAAAGGAAGTACCATCTGTGAAACCTTCAAATATCCCAATCAAAAGCTAAGTACTCAACAAACAAAGCTGTGGTGTCTTACCAAGGGCCAACAGGGACGCCGCAATTTCCTTTGGGCTGAGAGATTAGATGGTTAGAGTGCAGAACTGTGAGCCAGAAGGCTCCCATCCAAGCCCAGCCACTGACTCAAAGTCCATAACCACCTACAGGCCTTTGCCAAATACAGCTGTAAGCAGAAAGTTATATCCATGAGACTGATGAAACACAGTGTTCTCTTGTTTACTGCTGTCCATAATATTGGCCTGAGCAGGCCACATTGGTTAGTTGAAATTGGTTGAGATATCCCTGAAAAACAGGCGTTGTCATTTCAATACCCTTAGCTATAGAGATGGTCTTGTCTGTTGTCACATCCTCTGTCCACCCACTAAAGTCAGCTCCATGGATGTAGGTCATATTCCAGCCTTTTACTACTCCAGTCTTACCTTTTTGACAGAGTGATTCTTTCCTGCAGAAAAAGGGGGACAAGAATAAGAAGCTGAAGTTCCATCTATTTTGTATCCTATAGTTTCTTGTTTCTGTGGAATCTTTTTATTCATACAGGGTTAGTTGGGTACTCATCATTTCATTCTCTATTCTACTGGATGAGGCTGTGCTGGAATCTCCCTAGTACTAATCAACCTGCTTGCAACGATAAATAAATACAAGCTATTTCAAGATCTTATTCTATTATAGTGCTTTCCTTCAGACTCTTACTTTCTTGATGATTTTTAATTCAGTGTTTTAATCTCTCCAAGTCTTCCCCAACACTTGTTAGGCACTGTTGTTACCTCATCTACTAGATGACTTTGCCTTTCACCCTCCAGACAGATTGAGAAATCTGTGACAATTGCTTTTTGCATCATATTTTTGATAAAGAGATGGAGTGAATTCTGAAATATAGCAGCATGAAAGTAATTTGTCTTTTCAGAAATGCATCAAAATGTCTCCACATCTGTTTACATTCTCCAGTTATATATCTCATCTCCACAGGGACTGAGCAACTCTGATTGGTCTTGCATTGAAGTCTGGATATTTGTTCTGACTCCTTGTGAAGGCTGTACAACCCAAAGCACAGTTCTTTTAGGATACATCCCCATTCCAGCAAGATCACATTTCACTTTTCTGAGGGGGGGAATTTGTAAAGTGCTCTCTGTAGTGTGAAAACAGTTCATTTGACAGCTCTGGAAATAGAGGTCCTCTGCTTATCCATAGTAGATGCAATATAAGTTTCACCACTCCACCCACTGGCAAGAAAACCTCAGCTTGGAACCTCAGCAAAAAGAAGAGCAAATAAAGTTCACTCTCCATGACCAAAAGTTAGCTCTTCTGGTGTTGCAATCAATAAAACTGGCAGTTTTGAAGAAAAGTTAGATCTGGGCAAATCTTGCTTACTCTTTTTGGATGAGATCATAGAATCATAGAATCATTGAGGTTGGAAAAGACCTTTATGATCATTGAGTCCAACCATTAACCTAACACTGCCAAGTCCACCACTAAACCATGCTCCTAAGTGCCACATCTACACATCTTTTAAATACCTCCAGGGATGGTGACTCAACCATTTCCCTGTGCAGCTTGCTCCAAGGCTTGACAACCCTTTTGGTGAATAAATTTTTCCTAATATCCAGTCTAAACCTCCTCTGGTGCAATTTGAGGCCATTTCCTCTTGCCCTATCATTTGTTACTTGCAAGAAGAGACCAACCCCCACCTCGCTGCAACTTCCTTTCAGGTAGTTGTAGCAAGTCAGAAGGTCTCCCCTGAGCCTCCTTTGCCCCAGGCTAAACAACCCCAGTTCCCTCAGCTGCTCCTCACAGCACTTGTTCTCTAGTCCCTTCACCAGCTTCATTGCCATTCTTTGGACACGCTACAACACCTTGATGTCTTTCTTGTAGTGAGGGGCCCAAACCTGAACACAGTGTTAGTGGCACTGACTGACAACAGACTGACAGGCCCATAGTTCCCTGGATCCTCCTTCTGGCCCTTCTTGTAGATTGGCATCACATTTGCTTACCTCCAGTCAACTGGGACCTCCCCAGTTAACCAGGACTGCTGATAAACGGTTGAAAGTAACTGAGTAAGCACTTCTGCCAGCTCCCTCAGTACCTGTGGGTGGATCCCATCCAGCCCCATAGACTTGTAGGTGTCTAAGTGGTGTAACAGGTCACTGACCATTTCTCCTTGGACTATGGCATTTTCATTCTGCTTCCTGTCCTTGTCTTCCAGCTCATGGCACTGGGTACCCAGGGCACAACTGTTTTTTCTATTAAAGACTAAGGCAAAGAAGACATTAAGTATCTTAGCCTTTTTCTCATCCTCTTTCACTACGCTCCCCCGTGTGCATCCAATAGAGGATGGAGATTCTCTTTAGACCTCCTTTTTCTCTTAATATATTTACAGAAATATTTTTAGTGCCTTTTTTTTTTTGGCAGTAGGCAGATTAAGTTCTAGTTGCATTTTGGCCCTTCTAATTTTCTTCCTGCATAACCTCACAACACCCTTGTAATCCTTGAGTTGCCTGCCCCTTATTCCAAAGGTCATAAATGCTCCTTTTTCTCCTCAGTTCCAGCCAAAGGTCTCTGTTCAGCCAGGCTAGTCTTTTTCCAAAGGACACCAGCTTGTCCTTTGGCATATGGGGTTGACCTGCATCTTTAAGAGTTCCTTCTTGAAGAATGTCCAGCATTCTTGGATCCTTTTGCCTTTCAGGACTGCTTACCAAGGGGCTCTGTCAACCAGTCTCCTAAACAGGCCAAAATCAGCTCTCCAGAAGTCCAGTGTAAGAGTTCTGCTGGCCCCTTTCCTTACCTCTTTGAGAACTGAAAACACTGTCATTTTGTGATCACTATGTCTAAGATGGGCTCCAACCACCAGATTACCCACAGTCTTCCTCTGTTCACAAAAAACAAATCCAGCAGGGCACTTCCCCTAGTTGGCTCACCTAGTTATCTTCTGCTCCGAGACCTCTCTATTTTCTCTCTGCTGTGTTGCTTTTCCAGCAGACATCTGGTAAGTTGAAGTCCCCCATGAGAACAAGGATTAGTGATTGCAAGACTTATCCCATCTGCTTATAGACTATTTGATCTGCTTCTTTATCCTGGCTGGGTGATCTATAACAGACTCCCACCATGATATCTGCCTTGTTGGCCTTCCCCCTGATTCTTACCCATAAACGCACAATGCTATCATCACCATCATTAAGCTCTGGACAACCAAAACACCCCCCAACACACAGGGCTACCCTATCACCTCTCTTTCCTTGCCTATCTCTTCTGAGGGGTTTATAGCCATCCATGGCAGCACTCCAGTTGTGCAAGCAATCCTGCCATGTTTCCATGATGGCAACTATGTCATAGTTTTCCCTGTTTGTTGCCCATGCTGCATGCATTGATGTAGATGTACTTCAGTTATTGATCCCACAAGCTTTTTGGGGAACACTGTTAGCAATGATTCAGACTTGCTCCCAAACCAACCACCAGCATCTGTCTCAGTTCATACAGTACTTTGAAGATCTGGAAGGCCAATAAGAATCCACATTTCTCTTGGTTGCCCTGCTCATACCACCCAGCTCTTGCCACACCCCAGCTCACCTGGAACGCACAGCCAAGCCAAGACTGCTATGATGCACTGGGTATGTGGGAGAATCAGCAGTGAGCCAGATAGCAACCATGTTTTCATATTAATATTTTTTTAAAAAGTTTAAAAATCAATTATGAATGAGAATCATCTTCTAGGTAAAGTTTTTTTGTATTTTCAGACACTTCTTTTCATATTTTGTTCCCACATCCTTTAAGGAAGCCTGCTATGAATATCTAAAAAGTCATATTATCTCCTTTGAAATCCATCTTGAAAACTTCCCTTCTCCGTAACACTGAAGGCAGTCTAAGCACTTGTTAGATCTCTGATGGCCTGAGGTACCTAATCACTGTGTTTCATTGTTCTCATTGTTCAATATCTCTGTATCGTTTTTTCTGTCCCTTCTGATACAGAGGGCTATCTTTCTGCTAATATAGTTTATTGAATAGTAGTGGTGGCTTATGAATGAACTTCATGAACACCAATGAGTATAAATAAACCTCATTCATAACATGCATTTTAAATGTGATGAATTTATCCTCTCCCTCACTTTCAAACACAGAAAATATATTCTACAGAAAAGCTGAGGTTGTGAAAATGTTCTTTAAAGAATAAGATAGGGAAGAGCAGGCTGGGAAATACTTACAGGTGATTCCCCTTCCTTCCTGGAAACAGCCTTTAAAAGGCACTAGTAGTGTTGTCACTGGAGCTAGAGTTCAATAAAAGGAGGCCTTTGCCCACATCACCTCTCTTTTTAGTAGGGCCCTGTCACACAGATAAAGTGTGAAATAAAATATAATCTGAAGGGGGACTCTGAAATGTCCTCCTACTGTAAAACTTCAGGCCAGTTCTGTCCAGACTAAATAAAAGCCATTGGATCTACATATCTCTCCCATCCAGAATCATTGTTTCAGTAATCAGAAAAGAGTGAGTACTGTTGTGTGGTATTTACAGCTGTCAGTGATTTCATGAGCTGTTGTAAACATCCCTGCCATTTAAAGATCATGAAGTATGTTGAGAGTATGTTGACCATATACTATCATGGTCAGCGCCTTTTTAGTAAAAATGAAAATGTATTTAAGACCTCATGGCTGACTGTGATGGATTGGTTTCCATCATAAAAACTGAAATGCTTTAATGAGAAAGGGCTTTATGAGTCTAGCTGTTAGCCATGGGGTTGTCATCACACTGTAGCCTTCCAATTCTTTCCCTCTGGGATTAATCCAAGGCTGCTGGACCACTAATTTATTACAAAGACAGGTGCTGGAGAAAGAAAAAAAAAAAAAGAAATTAAGAAATAAAGAGTGAGAAAGAAAGAGAGAAAACAAGTGAGGAAGAAAGAGCAAGAGGATACAAGCAAGCAAGACAGAGAGAATGACAAACTTAACTACAAGACAGAATTTGCCTTGGCTATAATTTGCTTGCACACCAGATGTCTGCATGGTTCAGGCTGACAGCATTGCAGAGAGTGGGAAGCTCAGCACTGTCAAAAGACAAAAAAAAAGAAGAGAAATTCAAAAAATTAAAACAAAAATGACTTTGCTGTTTATTTCTTTCACCAGTAAAAATCGGGTCCCTCTATTCACACAGCTGGTCATACCATGCACTAACACTTCCCCTCACCAGCATGTCATTGGAGTCCTCCTCAGAATTTGACCAGATTAGATGAAAAAAATTAATTTTAATGCAGTAGGCTGAGGGAGTTGTAAAATGCCTCTCTCTAATTAGTTTATCAGTTTGAGAGTGAAGGACTTGGGTGAAGAAATGTAATGATGTCAGTTCTGTGATATCTGAACAGGCTTATTTACATTCCTCACCTTATATCTTTTCCTTTTGCACCCATCTTCCTTTCTTCACCTCTCCCCTTTCCCCCTGTCATCTGTGTTTCTTTCTTGCTTGCCAAGTACATTGCGTACCTGGGGTCAACAAGACAGTTCTGCAGATGGGTTGATGACACAGCAAAATACTTGGTATGAGATGTTTCTGTCTGGCCTACAGATGGGAAACTCATAAACACTTTATACACCCAGTCCCTCATTACTGGTTTAATAGGTTTTCTACTGGAAAGCCAAGAGCTTCCCTAGGCAATGCAAGGAGTTGCCATATGTTCAGGATACCAATTAATAGTCCTTCTAAAAATTCATGTGTTTTCAGGCTAACAGAAAAAGTTAAATTCTTTTCTTCTTGGTATGTTTTTAGTGCTTGAGAAAGGATCCAACTATGTGGGCTGTTCCATGGGTATCACAGGCTTTGCCAACTGGATGTGTACGAGTGTGAGTGATGTTTTTTGTCTTAAGTCATACAGATTGATTGCATTTAAAACATACTGCATCAGTATCTTCTGTCCCTGATACCTCATCACAGTTCCTCAGAGACAATACCACTTAATCTGCCTGAGTCAGAGTAGTGTTTCTGAGAGAGTTGCATACGTTCTTGTAACAACTGAGAAAAAGAGGCAGCTCCACACCTCCAGAGCTTTCCTCCATCCTGCTCAGAGCAATGGACCTTTTTGAAGACAGACTGTCCTGGAGTAGGAGATAATTAAGAGCGCCCTTTCTCCCCAGTGAGATTCCAAGTGTGAGCTTAGTACATTCACATCTGCCGGAAAAGAAAGTCCCAGAAGATTTTTCCATGTGTGAAGGTGAAAAGTGCTCAAATATTCTACTGGAAGAATCAGTCTTCCTGAATTCCTTTGGCTAACCTGGAATGGAAATGGTGGAACAATAACCAGGTGCCATAAGGAGCAGTGAACATAATAAAATACTCCTTTGTCTTCTCTATTTTTTCATGAAGTGCTATGAAGTGAACACCCTGCCTCTATCTGATGGCACCCTGAGGATGAAGGACTTAAGTGAAGACCACATCAGTCTGGGACAGTGGAGGATTTCAGCCTGCACGTAGTAGAAAAAAGCTCATCAGCTTTGGGTTTCTGGCTGAGTTATTCCAGAGAAATTTAATTCTTCTTCCTGTATCCCTTTTGTGATTTGAGGTTGACAGAGCATCCTTCTTTCCTCACGAGAAATACCTGAGCAGCTTTGTACCATGCCACCTTCTATCCTAGTTATAGTTATATTTTTTGTATATTATACATGTAAACCCCTCAGGAAACTGTGAAAAGTTCTGCAGACCTCAGTGAAAGTAAACTGGCTTCTCAGCGAGACAGAAATGAGGTGTGCTGAGGAAAGAACACCTCCAAAGGAAAATTCAGAGATTTGTTCTCTGAGTCATGTGCTAAATTCCTTTGTAGCTTCAAGGTCTTGGTGGCCAACAGAGACTATGTTATTCTTAGGAAGAGACTAGAAAACACGACTGAAAGTGCTAAAATGCCATTGTGTACATAGCATCACTCCCTGACCTCAAACAGTTTGAATCTCCAGCCCTCAGAAAATGTGTAACATAAAGAAAAAAGATCTAGAGCAGAAACATGGAAAGATTTCCACATAGAAAAGACTTAGAAAGGAGATCTCTGATGTAGATCGTTGACAAATAAAATACGAGAAGGATATAAATCTATGTCAGGAACATGGCGATCTCTAATGTCCTCATCATCCCAGAATGAGGGACTTTCACCTCTTTCTGAAGCACATGCCTAGTTTGAAATATGCAAGCTGTTCTTCTAAAGTCTTCATGTGAATCCCTTGGATTACCTATAACGTTTCAATTTGGGCATCTTCCTCAGGATGTCACTGAGTCAATGCCCCAGTATGAAGAACAGCCAGCAGATAGGACTGCCCCATTCACTGCAGTAGGTCTCCATGGGCAGCGAAGCAGCAATTGTGATTTCCAGTCCCAGACGAGCAACTGACTCATCCTATCTTTGTCCTTGGAGTCTCAATTTCTTCATACCAGAGACTGTTCTTCCTTCAGATTAATTCAATTTCTATGGCATTGGCTCCAGCCTGTGTACCCTGGGGGTGACTCTCTCAGCCTTTCCCTGAAGAGCATTTTAGACCAATGAGACCCCACAATTATCCCCATCATGAAAATAAGCAACATTTCCACAGAGAAAATGGGGATTTGTATTCAGAAAAGCCTGATACCTGCTGCAGAAACTACACAAAAATCATTCATGATTAGATTTTATATATGCAAGCTTCCTTTAAAATTCCAGTTTCGTAAATGCTCTGACATCTAAAAAAAAAAAAAAAAAGTGAAACATTTACGTTAAAACCAGAATTCTTGGAAATCTGTTTCTTCTGTTAGTTGCAAAGGAAAGAAGAAAATAGTCCACATTGGTAATTCTTTTGTCTACAATACAGCACAAAGGGCTTGAGGTCCTCTACAGTCTTGTCAAGTACTTCTTATTGTTATTCACATGGTGAAAACAACTTTTGTTTCTGCTTAAATGTGGTGCAGGAGAATATTTATGGAATGAATCAGATGAAGAAGTCTGGAAGAACTCATTCTTATCTACACTGATGTTCATCCCACCAACTTCAGCCACTTGTAAATTAGGTGCCTAAACTAAGTGGCTGTCTAGATTATTCAGTTAATGAAGAAAGGTAGGCATTTCCAAACAAGAAAAGCCTCTACCTCTGCGACAGGCTGGGAGAAATATTCCTCAGAGATACAAAACTTTCTCCATTGCCTAAACTGGGATCTATCCAGAATCCTGTGGAAAATCCTTAAATACTATACAGCTTTAAATTTGATGAGTTCAACCCCATCTGGAGACTGGCCTCCTGTGTAACATTAACCGTAACATTCAGTGATTGAATTTCTCCATTTTATTCTATTTCTCTAACCTTCTGGGTTGTTCCCTCTTTGGTAGAGCTATGCCAGACCCCTATGGGACAGCAGAGTGATTTTGCTGTTCCCTAATGTGACATTTTCCCCCTTAGAGCCTATCACTGTGTTTGCAGATTTTGTTTCATGCCACCTCAACATCAATCTTCTTTCTACGTCTGTCCCTTTTGCTCTTGGTGTAAGTTCTGGGGACTTTCCCACCCTGTGTCACTTCATCTGGTCACAAAGCCACAATCCCACCACAGCCTTGTTTGCCAAATGTGTTGCATAAGGTTCAGCCTTGTGGGTTTCCTCTGGAGCAAGGAGACAACAAAGATCCTCTGTGGGAGCAGAAAAAACAGCCTGCTCTCTCAGGGTGCCCTAGAAGGGGGCTTTGGCCTCTTTATTTTCAAGTGATTACAGAGTTTAATCTTAAATGGGATTACAGAACAGGAGGAAATGCTCAGAAATGGCTGAAAGTACTAAAAAGGAGATCATTTTAGTACTAACTTCCCAGTAACAACCAAGATATGCCTGGGGATACTGCCAGCAGTATCTTCCAACTGGCACTCCAGTAACATGGGCATGTCATGTTTCCCACCATCTAACACCTAAACTCCCCAGTGTGTCCTCTGACCATTCTTCCTGTACCTATGACAATCCCTGCAGTGACTCTGCAGGGCAGTACCATGTCCAGTAAGCTTATTAATTTGTGTTGTGCTCCACACCTACCATTGAGCAAGAGGCTCTGGATCACAAGCAGATTGCAGGACACTGGACACATCTAGTCTGGTGGGAGCAGAATGCCAAGAAGGTAGTGAGGCTGTCACTACCCAGCCCAGTGAATTTCTTGCTCATAAACTCATCCAGTCTCCTCTGGAAGCTCTTCTCCACCCATGACATCCTCTAGCCATGCATCTGGTCACCCAGCGCCATACAGCCTATACCAGGAAAGCAGGCTTTAGTGCACACACCTTGCACATGAGGAACCAAGGGAGGGCATTTAGCTGTCATGGTTAGTGTGGAAACTTCCTGTCCTTCCTGTTCAGCTGTAGCTGAACCCAGGACACTTCCCCTAGTGTGTTTAAGCAATGTCGTTTCATGTGCCAGCAGCTGTGTCTAAATATCTTGACCTAACATCAGGTAATATTTCTCCCCTCATTCTGTTAATGACAACTGAAAGGGAAGTATTCGGTATTCTCTATGAACACTCATGGCATACAGTTACAGGAAGGGCATTCTTAGGGTCTGTGGCCCAGCCAGGCAAGGTTCAGCTTAAGTCAGCTGCCAAGAAGCTAGAGAATTGTATAAGGACATGATTGCAGCTGAGCTGCATCTGACCACATGTACATCTGGTCCTGCAGCCTAGTAAAACTAAGAACAGGATAAGTATATATATGCTGTTTTCCCCATGTCTACATAAACATATTTAGTCTCTGCATATTTATTAATCCCCAGTGAATCTTATCTTCTCGAACTCATTCAGTCTCCAAGGGAAGCTTTTCTCCACCATGACATCCTCTGGCCATGTATCTGAGAGTTGAACTACACATTGCAGGAGGAACTGTCTCCTTGGGCTGCTTCTGACTGAGCCCCCCAGCTGCATTTAGTGCCCACCCCACGGATGCTCACCTCAGACGCTGTGCATCTTCACTGGCAGCTCCAGATTCCCCTGCACTGGTACTGCTAACGTATGGCAGCTGTGACCAATGAGCAGAGACCTTTGCAGTGAACACCTCACAACACCTCATCCTGCTTCTGCTCAGCAAAAGTAAGGAGGAAGGAAGAAAGCTTCCTTCAGGGTTTCCTAAATCAAAGTGTGTGAATAGCTGAGGTTGGGGAGGAAGTTGTCCCTTGCCAACACACACACACAGGCACAATCGTTTCTTCCATAATTCCTCGGGGCAACTGAGTTTCTAGTTGAGCCCACTGCTGAGTCATTGAGGTATAAATTCAACCAGTATGAAAACCTTCCTCCTTGACAGCAATCCAATAAAGCACAAATTAGCAGAAGAGATGAAGGAAAAAAAAACAAAACAAAAAAAAAAACAAACCACAAAACCACTAGGAACGTATTAGGGCTGACAGCCCGGTAGAAGGTCCTACAGGAGGTATCTCAGCACCTTCTCCTACAACAGCCCGCCCTGGTAAAATCTGAGCCATCCCTTTCCTGACACTCCACAACAACAAACCCAAACAGATTGATGCTTGCTCCTGAGAGATGCCAAGCAACCTTCCACTCCTACTTAAATCAGGAGATTGCAGAGAGCCCTTCACCTGGCAGGATGAAGTCTTTTGGGTGTTGAAGGGAACAGCCTGCTTTATGGCTTAAGATGAATGACAACCATCTGAGGCCTTGTCCCATGCTGTGATGGGTGGCAGGGCTGCTGTCTGAGCTGCTCTGGCCAAGTTTTACAATGGTGCCATTATCCACCAGACATCTGGCAGGCGTAGCTTCTATTTTTCCTGCCCTGTGGTGGCAGTTGTTAGGTGGAAAGGCAGGTTGGCAGGGGAAGACTGGATATTTGACATCTCCTCCCTTCTCCCCTTTGCTAACATTCCTTTGGCTTGTAAGTCTGACAAACCAGCAGCAAGAGAAGATTGTTGTAAGTTATTTGCAAGGACACAGGGTCACATGTTTTTCATCCATTCCTTTTAAGACTTCAGTGGCAACATACAAGCACCTTTCCCAAGACCCAGCAAGGAAAAGCCTGTTTGGTAAAGCAACAGAGGAAACTTGAGGTTTATTTTGTTGTTTGTAAGAATAAACACCCTCCAAAATATCCTTGAGAGTTGCTGATATTCTTAGTTATTAAAAAAACCTCTCATGAGTGTCAAGGGCAATGCAGTAGATGTAAAGCAGAGGGGGGACAAACGTCTTCGACACATTGTCAAAGGTTTCACATTTAGGCTGCCAACAGGGGCTGAGCTGCTCCACAGGCTTGTTTCCTTGAAGGAAGGAGTGCACCCTCCCCAAATATGGCCTGATTGCCTCAGCTGATGATGCTGTTATTCATTAAGACCCAAAGTGGGGATTGAGTCCCATTGTTCTCGGCACTGTGCTAACAGAATGAGGACAAGATGATCTCTGGTAACCAAACCCAGCAGGAGAGGGGATCCCTCACACCAAGCCTCTCTGCTGGGTGGTCTGCACTCTTCTGGGGACACTGGGCTTGAATGGCCAGCATTTCTCTGAGCTGCTGAGTACTAAAAGTAGAGGCAAAAGGAAAAGCAAGCAGGCAGAGGAGCTGCCCAAGGCGGTCACAATCACCAGGGAGCAGTGCTCCCCTCCAAACAGGCTCAGTGGCTTCTGCCAAGGGCAGACTCATCGATAAGCTTGTCCAAAGGCAGTGTGTCTCACTCCCTGAGTTTAACATGATGCCTTTTGGTCTCTGCAATTCCCCTAGTGCCTCTCAGAGGCGCATGGATTTGATTCTGGCAGCTGTTCAGTAGGCCACATGTTCGGCCGATCTGGATGATGCAATTGTTTTTGGGAGGACTTTCCAGGAACATTAAAATCGCCTGGAGGATGCTTGTAGCTGGCTGGAGCAGGCTGGTCTGAGAGCCGAAACCCATCCAACTGTGACTAGTCATGGTCCCAGGTGCAGCCCACTCCTCATATCATGTCTTCAGCAGGGTGTGCCTCCACCTCCAGTGAGGACAGACACCCTCGGCACAAGCCCACCCCGGCAATGGCAGCTGAAAGGACAACCAGATCCCTCTGCACAAGGTGTGGGAGTCCTGGCTTTTCTCTGTTATCTGGTAGAAGACAAGGAAGGGGAGGGAGACATGAAAGCACAGCCTGGATCTGAATTCCCAGTCTGATTGTAGCAGCACTTTTCAGCTCACATGCAGTGCTTGTGTGGATTGCAGTGCTGGTCCTGTTACCTGTCCACGTTGCTTTCCTCCTCCAGCAGGGCTCAGCTTTTGGACCTAGGAAAAGAAGCTGGGCTGTGTCCCTGCTGCAGCCATTTTGGAGAGGTGGCAGAGAGCTGCACACCCCAGCAGTCACAGGAGCCCAGAGGGGGGAAATAAAAGGATTTTTCTGAGTGAGCTGGTGATGAGGAACATCAAGTTAAGCTCTTTGGAGTGAGGTACAGTGCTCTTTTCCAGCAGAAGGATCTTGAGCTTTGGCCTAAGATGCTATCATGAGTAATGGTCAGGTGTCACGCTGGCTGCCAGTGACCAGAGGCACTGAACCCCCTGGTCTGGCAGGAGCACACTCCGATCACAGTCTGCTCCTTGCAGGGGGTAAGTAAAGTAGGTAACAAGACAGAGATTTTCCACTGTCATGCTTGGCTGATAACATGCTAGAAATAGGTGTCCATGTTAGGATCGTTTTTCTGTCCTCAGGGGAAAAAAAAAAAAAAAAAAAGCAGACAGCACTATGCCAGTTTCTGTAGATATTATGGAAAGGCAAATTTTAAAAAACTTACTTTTGACTAAGCAGATTTAAAATGACCAGCAAGTGAAGGATTACTAAGTGGGGGCACCAGAGTAAAATGGGCACAGTCCTTCTCCTGATTGCCTGCTCCTTCATCCCTGAGTCGGTCCTTTTTTTGTGAGTCCTCTCATCCAGTTCCCTCCCTCCCAGAATCCACTATGGACCTGTCCAACCTCACAGGAGGGACAGACAAAATTTTAGGTAGAGAAATACTGAGCTCACACCTTTTGCAGGAGTCTCTTGTAATACAAATTTCACACAAAGACCCCAAATGTCCTTGGAGCCTCATCACATTTCTTCTTTATTTGTAATGGGCTTCAGCAAAACTCATTGTCCATCAAATCCATGTGTCCAAGATCATGTAGTAGGAATCCTGGAAAGTGTGTGAAAGAGATTGCATTTTGCTGTTGGATGTCTTGGCTAAAATGCAAATTAGCTGTCACACTCCAGTAAATTACGTGGTACTAAGCTTTACTATGCTTCCTTCTTTTCCCTTGTGTTACAAACAAACATGCTGGAAGGACAGCCTTTCCTACACATCTAGGGATGCTGATAGCTCAGTCAGGCAGCAAGATTTGGCTGGGCTTTTCTGTTTATAATAGCTTACAAATCTTGCAACTTAAAATCTACAAGCCATATGCACATGCTGCTAAATTATTCTGCTCCACATGGTGGGGGAACCCACCAAGCCTAAGCACAGCACAGAAACCCAACAGGAAAATGGACATCAGATAGGGTATGAAAAACGCACTGACAGTCTGGGGGGAGTTTGCCCCTGTACAGCTAGAAATCTGTTTGAAATTGACTACAGTAGGAGCCATGGCCCATTTCTTCACACATCTTTGCTAAAGAGATGTCAACTCTCATCTTTCTGTGTTATCATGTGCTGGTTTTGGCACCACCAAAATCCAGGTGCACTTCACAACTCAAGCACTAGGTCTTTCTCTAATGGGCTGCCACAGCTGCTCCCAAGAGTGCCTGCTTCTTTCACTGAGACCTTCTGATGGCTGGAAATACTGTTTTATTTCTAGCAATTACAGAAAGAGAAAATTAATTACTCGTCACAAGTCTGGGTTACAATAAAGCAACTGATGTTGGGTCTCTTGAGACAATTAATACAGCTCAGCTTGGAGAACATGACTGTGAGAGCTAACAGGCAGCTGGAAGAGTGCAAACAGCCGAGTAAAATGGCAAAGTCAGCAGTTACAACCTTTTCCTGGCTGGTTGCGTATCTCAGACTAAAGAGAGGTGACAACCTTTGGTCACTGTATGGGCTTTAATCACAAATGGTGCTCTCAGCAAGATACCCCAACCTCCCACAGCTTTGCATACTCTACTGCAGTCCCATAAAGCACCCCGTTGCATCTCAGGCGACTAAACACGGACTGCCTGCCAGCACCTCAGCTGCATAAAGTAGATGTATCAAAACTCAGCAGTCTTTCTGTGCATAAGAGGACATCTGTTCCTAGGTTCAGCCACCTCTACAGTTTGATCCAGCCCTTGAAAAAAATATGTGAGTGTGGTGTTCTCACTCAGGCCTGAGCATGACCTCAGGTGGGAGGAGATCTGATTGCTGGAAGGAAGACTTGGGACCCAGCACCAAAATCAGTGTGGGTGCAGATGGCTGCAATAGGCCAAAACTCCAGCCAGAAGTATCGAAGTCTGGGGTTGTCTCATGCAATCACCCAGCACCTGATGGAGGACATCATCATTTTCTAAAGCTGCTGCTCCCTGTTTCTCTGTCTAAGTGTGGTGCTTGCTGAAGAGCTCTGCTTTGCACCACTGGGGTCAAAAGCCTGACAGATAATGTAAGGCAGAAACATAACACACTGTACAACTTTCTACCAGGCACATCTGGATGAAGTGTAAACTTTACCTTCTCATCAATGTAATAGTATGCATTTATTTCTCCCTCTGGGAAAAGCAAAAACAGTTCAAATCTGTGCAACAACAACAAAAACCAAAACAAACTGTAATTAGCTATGTGGAAATGCTACAGGAGGAGACCCTGCAAAAATGTGGATTGGTTTAGATAAATAGAATCATAGAATGGTTTGGGTTGGAAAGGACCTTAAGATCATCTAGTTCCAACCCCCCTGCCATGGGCAGGGACACCTCACACTAGACCATGGCGCCCAAGGCTCTGTCCAGCCTGGCCTTGAACACTGCCAGGGATGGAGCATTTACCACTTCTTTGGGCAACCTGTTCCAGTGCTTCACCACCCGCACAGTAAAGAACTTCCTCCTTATATTTAACCTGAACTTCCCCTGTTTATGTTTAAATCCATTAACCCTTGTCCTGTCACTACAGTCCCTGATGAAGAGTCCCTCTCCAGTATCCTTGTAGCTGTGCCTGGGATTGCCCCAACCCAGGTGCAAGACCTTGCACTTGGCATTGTTGAACTTCACGAGTTTGGCATTGTTGAACTTCACGAGTTTGGCATTGGCCCACCTCTCAGGTGTATCAAGGTCACTCTGGATGGCATCCCTTCCCTCCAGCAAATCAACCACACAGCTTGGTGCTGTCAGCAAACTTGTTGAGGGTGCACTCAATCGCACTGTCTATGTCATTGACAAAGATGTTAAACAGGATCAGTCCCAACACCAACCCCTGAGGGACACCACTCATTACCAGTCTCCAACTGGATACTGAGCCGTTGACCACCACTCTTTGCATGCGGCCATCCAGCCAGCTCTTTATCCGCTGAGTGGTCCATCCAGCAACTTTATGTCTCTTCAGTTTAGAGACACAGATGTTGTGCAGGACAGTGTCAAACGCTTTGCACAAGTCCAGGTAGATGACATCAACTGCTCTGCCCCTGTCCATCAGTTCTGTAGCCCCATCATAGAAGGCCAGCAAATTGGTCAGGCAGGATTTCCCCTTAGTGAAGCCATGCTGGCTGTCACCAACCACCTTGTTGTTTTTTCATGTGCCTTAACATCCCTTCCAGGAGAATCTGCTCCAAGATTTTGCCAGGCACAGAGGTGAGACTGACTGGTCTGTAGTTCCCTGGGTCATCCATTTTCCCCTTCTTGAAAATGGGGGTTATATTTCCCTTTTTCCAGTCGTCGGGAACTTCACCTGACTGCCATGGTTTTTCAAATATGATGGCCAGCAGCTTCGCAACTTCATTCACCAGCTCCTTCAGGACCTGTGGATGGATTTCATCAGGACCCATGGACTTGTGTATGTGCAGGTTCTTAAGATGGTCTCGAACCAGTTCCTCTCCTACAGTGGGCACAAGGTCTTCATTCTCACAGTCCCTGCGTCTGCCTTCCAAGACTTGGGTGGTGCGGTCAGAACATTTTCCAGTGAAGAGTGAGGCAAAGAAGCCATTGAGAACCTCAGCCTTCTCCAAATCCAGGGTAGCCGGTTCTCCTGAGAGCTTCCAGAGAGGGCCCACATTATCCTTAGTCTGTCTTTTGTTAGCAACATACCTATAGAAGCCTTTCCTTTAACATTCCTGGCCAGACTCAACTGGGCCTTAGCTTTCTTGACCTGATACCTAGCTTCCCAGGCAATGTCCCTGTATTTCTCCCACGCCTCGCTTCCACCTTCTATAAGCTTCTTTTTTCCTTCTAAGTTTTCTCAGCCTCTGAGCCTCTAAGTTTTGGGTTGTTTTCAGAGGCCTCCTGGCCTTCTTGTCAAAATGCAACACTCCTGAGCTTGGAGCAGGTGATCCTTGAATATCAACCAGCATTCCTCAGCCCCCTCCCCTCTAGAGCTTTATCCCCTGGAACTTACTGAGCAGGTTCCTGAAGAGGCTAAAGCCTGCTCTCTGGAAGTTCAGGACAGCGAGCTTTCTGTGTGCCCTTCTCACTGCCCTAAAGATCTCAAATTCCACCATCTCATGATCACTACAGCCAAGGCTGCCCTGGAGCATCATATTCCCTACCAGCCCCTCACAGTTGGTGAGCATGAGGATAAAGAAGAAGAAATACCCAACTCTGTCCAGAACAGAAGCCAAAGCTTTTTGAAAACCCTTCAACAAGGTTTTCCTTTCCCCAGGGGAAGGAAAAGAGAAGCAATGATCTGCACAACTGCATATAATGGAGATCAACCCCACCTGCTCCATCCTGGACATAACCCTGAGAGCTACTGTCTTCTATAGTTTGAATGGACTTCCCATTCCCAGTGTCCCATCCTGGTCACCATATAACAAATTTGACAGCTTCTCCAGTTCTCAGCTGAGCAAATATCCTGTTCACAATCATAATCACGCCAATACATATCATAAATTTCCCCACTGCCTCCTTCCCTACCACCCTTCCTGCTTTGCTTAACATGATGTTACCTATGCAGGATTCGTCACCCTCATCCTGCCATAAGCATCCCAAAAGATTTTCCTGTTGTCCTGCCATCGCAGGAGGTTTCACATGAAGCTGACACCAGGCTCTCCTCTCCTCACTTGGTCCACATCCAGTGGATTATGTATAAGCACAGATGGCTCTGCTAATTGGGAATTGTTCCTTTTTATCATGTCACTGGGGCTTGTCCTGGGCAGGGGCTGCCTGATATCTTTCTCTTTGATTTCGGAGGGTTTTGTGAGAAGTTACCAGGCAGAACTGAAGGGCTGGTGGATGAGGCTTTGATAAATGCCTTGATCTGTATGGCCTGCTGGGCAGTCTGTAGCTGTGCAGTCAAACACACCAGTGGCTTGTCAAGGATCTTACCCTATCTGCACCAGGCAGCAGGGTTATGCAGGATGTACAGAAATGTAACCCAACAAGTCTCTAATCCCCAGGACAAGGTTGAAAGTGGATTTAGACTAGGGATGGCTATGTTTCTCCTACCAACTCACCCCCTCTGTCAAGTCCCTGAGAACCAGTGATGAATAAACTCAGCATGTGCCACAGGCCAGCATGTAATGAGCTGGTTTTTATCACCCGCTTCTCAGAGCTATGTAAAATCTATGCACTGTTCTGCTCTGCTGCACTTTGCTTGGAGTGGTACACGGAAAAATTTCAGCTCAGAGTAGTTTATAGCCTCCCTATAGGCACTTTTCCATCCTATAGGCACTTTTCCATCACTGCCTGCCCATGGCTGTAAAGCATGGACCAGGACAGTGCACGCAGATAAGTGACTTCTGGTTGTCTTTGAATGGCCTTTTCACACCACTATAACTCCTGCTTTCCTGCTCTGCTTCTTTCCCTCTCTCCTTCCTAACTGAGTTTAGACTCTCTGGTTAAGGCAGCTGAGACCACAGTGACAGAGCAAACAGTGGGCAAAAGGAAAAGCTATGGTGCATCACCCAGATGGACAAAAAGAAAAGTGTGGACACTGGAGATGTCGCAGAAGAAAAGCTTGCTTGGAAGAGTGGGGAGAGCAAAGAAAGTTAGACAGTGCCCCAAAAGCCATCAATGTCCTAGTGATACCGCAAGGGAGCCGGGAGGACAAGGAGAAGATTTTGAGGCAACAGTGAGGTCCAGCTCTGCAGGACAATCAGCTACAGCAGTCCCCCTATGCGTGTCAAACTCATAGCAAGGAACAGGCTTCCCAAACTCCTCAGCACATCTGGCCATGCCCCATAATGTAGCATAGCTCATCCCACCACTTCTGTTCCCCTTGTGGACACAATCTGAAGGCGGGTCATGGGAGGCCTGAGCTGATGCTGTGATTATTTCCTACATTAGCCTATAAGAGGAAAATAGCCCTCAGCTAGGACATCCAAAATCTAATAAAAAATGCCTTAAACTGACTTCTGACAGTATTCCCCAGACCTCACATTTCAGTTACATGTATGCATAAAAACTTATAGTGGCAGGGGCAATTCTTATGCAGATGAGGCTACTGGTGAGCATTTCCCAATATGCCACACCTTTGGCAAAGGAATAAACTGTTTAGTTGCAAAATATCATGCAGGTATTCCTTAGATGGCCATGACCAAACACCCACCAACTTGGAATGAGCAAGACAAGCAAACAGACCTTCAGCTCTGCTGTCAAGAAGCATCTCAGCAAGGGAACACCCCCTTGCCCTTCCCATGAGCATCCAGGCATCATGAGCATCCCTAGTCTGCAGAAATCTTCATCAAGGACATGACCTCATTGTTTCAGCGGCTGTAAAAATGCAGCTAAAGAATGGTCTCTGACCCCACAGAGCTCATAATCATGTGTAAAATGCTGGATGGGGAACACAGTTTGATTGAAAGGCAGTGTAAAGGAATAATAAGATAATACTGTAATATATTCTTGGCCTGTCTCCCTTTCCTCAGTGTGTTACTCTCTTGACCCTGATGATGTGATGTCTCATTTACAATTCTGGAAATGCAGGCCATATATACTTTGCAACTAAGAGATCAGGCACTATACTTTGCAGTCTGCCTAGCACAACTTGGCTAAGCTTGGCTCATAACCAAATTCGCTTCCCTCCTCCATGCTGTGGTAGCCACCTCCACAATCCTTACTGGGAACAGCCCTGGGACATGCTATTCCCCAGACCAAGCCTAGGAAACACAGCCAAGAGCCAGCCAACTAAAACAAAATGTTTATTATGCCCAGTGTATAAAGCTAAGAAGTTGAGACTAAGACTTGCCTAAGGCCATGGGTAAAGTCAATGTCAAAGACTAGGCTTTCTTTCCCAAGGGTCAGACAAGGATAGAAAGAGAAGCATTTTTTCAGGTTAGGATTAGCCCTTACTGCAGATCTGTGGCTTTTTTTAACACGTCATTCAGAATTAGTTGTCACCTAAGGCTCAACTTCATAAGAGTGTGCAGGCACATATATCCTAATCTCCTGTGCTGTGTGCACTTGTGGGTCTTGTCGAGGTGTGGTGTGTATTGGCTGCACATGTAAAGAACCACTGCCACATAGAGTGAAGCCTTTTCAGCAAACATAAATGTTTTTTCTCAATCAGTACATGGTTGGTGCTGCATATAGTGCCCTGGCAAAAATGGCCTGCAGCAATCTATTGCAGTGTTTAGCAGAGGGTGCTTGAGGACCATCAAGTTAGCTCCAGCTGAGGTCTAGAAGTTCAGACACAGCTTCTGATCCTGCACTCACTACCAAACTGGAGAGCAGTTGTTATCAAATCTTCACCAGTGGTGTCTTCAGCCATTTTTAAGTTATGGCTTGAAGTTAATACACTGGAGGTGTTTATCTCCAGCATCATGGCTTGTAGCATAAGGAACTTGTATCTGGGAGTCCTGGATATGTTAGGCTTCCTGTGAATCACTACTCCTTTCAATTAGGAGGCAGCATTTGTCACACTTCCATTAAGCAATTGTAATTAGCAACTTTAAACTACAAGATCACATTGCCTAGACGTGAGACTTTACTGTGTATGGCTGCAATGGCAGCAATGTTACACTGTCTTCTTGCACTTCTGTCCTTCCTCTCTGCTGCTGTGGAGCATCTGCAGTGAGAGAGCAGGGTTTTTTGGGGTTATATAAAGTGAGTGGGGAAAAGTGAGACAAGAACTGCAGATTTGACCTTGAACACTAGGAGAAAGCATAACACACAGTCTGTATAAAGTTTCCTTTATAATAATAATAACAACAATACTAATAAAAAAATAATAAACCTTTTTGTTTCTCTACCAGAGAAGACTATAAAAATCTGCTCCTGCATAGCTGCAGTGGATTTCACAGCCAAAGCAAGGTCATTCAGAAACTGTTGCCAGGCCAAGTTTTCACTTTGAACATTTTCACAGTTAAAGGAGGATCCAAAACATGTAAGAAAACACAGCCTCAGACTTTCCACTTTAAACTCCTTCTTGCTTGAACTATAAGGTGAAGAGAGGAGGAGGGGGGTGGCTGGAGTGGATGGGCTTGGGTGATTTGTTTATCCAGAAATTCTTTGCATCTCCTCTTTTCAGTGATGTTCCCATTGCTTTTTTTTCTTTTTTACTCCATTTTCCAGCTGTGTAGCACAAAGCACAGGCAGGTCAACAGCCTTGCTGAACATCACAGAGTGAGTCAGTGGCTCTGGAGAGATCAGAGCCAGGACCCCACTGTGTGCCAGCTCCTTGTGCTTCCCTCTGGTTTCAAAATTCATTTCAACCCCAGGTGATAAAACAAGGTGAAACAGGACAAATTCCAGACTGTGAATTTGGCAGAGGCTTACTAAGGACACAGTGACAATGGCATCAAAATGCTGTGACACCAGACACCACAAAGTGAACAGTGCTCAGTCATATTTATGCTTATAAGTATGGGCATTTCTGTGTCTCCATGACTTTGCAATAGCTTTTCAACCCACTGGTCCATTCCAACCCAATCTGACAGCACTGTTGGCTCCTCCAAAATGTAACATTTGTACAGTTTTCATGAAAACTGACAACAGATAAAAGAGAGAGCTGGAAATTAAGTACGTGCTATAGGAAAAGGTGACTAAGACGCAATCTTAGCCACCAGTAAATCCACCAAGAAAGGGGGAGACTGGACTTGCACAGGGAAGTTAAAGGTAACAGAGGCTCAAGCACCAGCATGTGACTGTGCTATGTAACTGGTAGAACACTCCTTGTCACAGCTGTCGTAGCATCTTCTAAGCCTTAGGATAGGTATCACAGAGACAAGAGACATGCCCAGGCTTAAGATGGGTGACATCCTCCTCCTAAGTGGAAGGCAGAGAATGAAATCCCAGAGATGTGATCTGTGCCATGCCACAGGATTTGGATCCTCCAGGATGACATTGGGTGTTCCTTCTTTTTCTTGATTGAATAATTAACCTATTAAAAGTGATCTCTGCCTTTTCCCCCAAATTACTATTTCGTTGCGCTCATGTTACTCAAAGTTCTAGCCATAAGGTTTAATTCCTGAAATGGCAAAAAAAAAAAAAAAAAAGAAAGAAAAACTCTTTAGCGAGCTGTTTTGAGGTATTCAGAAAAAAAAAAAAACACCAACTCACTATTTTACCAGCAGTGGATCTTGATGTTATTGTAGGGTCACTCAAAAGTAACGGCTGGCAAGGGTGAAAGTAATTTGCAAGCCCTGAGCTACACTGATGAATTGTGGCCAAGTTGCGTAGTGATAGTGGGTCTTTTATTGGGAGGTCACCAAAGGGTATGGGGCTGAACAGAATGGATCATTACCAGAGGGCTGCTGGTTAGCAGAAACTATAGAGCTGTTTATGAACAAGGGGTCAGCTGGTCTGAACAGGATATTCATGAAGACTGTGCTACAAAATGCTTCGTTGTTGTGGTCATGCGTTCTGGGCTGCTAATATTCGTGGGTGCACTTGTGTGGGCATGTTCAGTTTATTTAGAAAATAAGGGCATTGAAGCACTTGTTTTCTGAGGGAGAGAAAAAAAAAGCACTGAGTAAGAAATACACCAACTGTGCAAATACTGAAAAGAAAGAAAAGAGAATGTCTCACTTTCCTTTTTACAAGCTTTCAAATGACAAAGCAAAAGATGTAAAACACTGGGCAGAGCTGTGCTTGCCATTGCCTGGGGTCCCCAACACAGCAGAAGGCTGCTAAACCAATAATCTTCCTATCCTGACCTTGTAGCCTCCTAACAAATCCTTTCTACTTTAGCAGGATTTGTTTCAGAGAACTAGGCTGTGTAATCTGGTACTCTGGTAAGGTCCTCATTTCACAGATTCAAGGCCAAATCCTGCTCATACCTCCACTGGCACAGTCCCATCACTTTTGGTGCAACTGCTCGAGCTGAGAGCTGACCGTGACGTTTTTCCCATTAATCTCATTCTCCCTTCCTATTGTGTTTCATTTTACGGTGCCCTGGAAACTGGAAAACCTGTATGTCTTCAGCCATTTGATGTACAGGAAATGTAGTCACTTAACTAATCTTTTCCCTGGGCAGTGGTGGGGATTTTTTGTTTGTTTTTTTTTCTCTTTCTTTTTTCATATCTGGCCTCACAATGCTTATGGAAACTGGTTATGGTACAGGGGAAAAGGAGTAGGGATGGTAACTTAGCAGCCACACACATCATGCTCAATTAAAACAGTTAAAGCTCCAGGAATAGAAGTCCCGAGTCCAAACTTTGTCTAAGGCTACTCTCCATCTACCCTTTCAGCTAAAAGAGCAGCCTTTCTGGCTCATTCACCAGCTGGAACGGATGCAGGCATGACTGAGCCTAAGACATCCCGTGCAGGCTGCAGCTGTACCAGGGTGACTGCAGCCATCTGCCCCTGCCTGGTCCTGGAAGCTGAGTGGCTCTCAGCCAAAGGGCTCCGGAGCCTTCTGGAAAAGCAGCAGAGTCCAAGGCACAAAAGCCAGGCTGTTTTGGTGGAAGGACCAAAGGCGAGCCAGGCCCTGTGAGCACTGGAGCAGTCACCACTCAGGCAAGTGACACCAGAAAGGACAGGATTTCTCAACATTTACCAAAACTGGTAAGACGTCTGGGAATATCTCAGATGCCCCACACCTATCTTTAACCATGAAAAAGCTTAACAACTACCTTCAACCAGACAACCAACTTTTTATGTGTAAAGAGTGGCAGTACGGAGTCTGCAAGTGTAGCTAGTTAGGCTGTACAGGCTACTACACTGATTTGGAAGACTCAACTCAAAGTTGAACATGAGATGGTGATAGGACGAGATGAAGATCTTACAGGACTCACACTGTGACCTCTCCAACATCTTGCACCACTGCACTTGAAATACGCTCAAATTTAGGAAGGTTTCAGTGGACATAAAGTACAAGGTCTGAAAACTTTTCCTTCTTTTTGAAAAGATGATATTTTCAGATGACAAGAAGAAGGTCTTCAAGGAATAGATGGGAAATCGGGCAACATGCAATTCACAGACTCGGAGACCTCAGAAAAGCATCAAGGATCTGGCAACAACTAGTGGTTTCAGGCAGAGCTAGACTGCAGAGAATAGCTACAGAAGCCAGTCACCTGGGAAAGCTGCTACACTGAAGTTTATATTGGATCAGGCTGTCCTGAGGGATTTCTGCAGGAAGATTGAAGAGGCTGCTGAAAACTCCGGAAAAAAAGAGTGCAAATGGGCCATAAAAATGAAGGCAAGTGGGAGACATGATTTTTTTTTTTTTTTGGCCTAAATTTGTGCACAAGCTTTTGTTCACAGATGAAGTTCTTATCCTGAGGAAGAATCTATCACTCTGGTATATGAATGTCAGCAGAGCTGGCATCAGTGCCAGGACGCTTGTTTACGGTGCTGCTTCCTAATGTGACATTTCAACACCAAGAAAGGGCTTCTTATGCTTTCTTATGCTGCTCAAGAGAATCCCTGCTCCTCTTCCTAACTCTCTTGTAAATTGCCCGCTCTTTATGGCACTATGTCTATTAAGTCTACCCTGTCAAGTTGGTACACATTTCTCTGAAGCACTTAACCCTCTGTTGCCCATCGGTTTAATCCCACGCTCCCACCTGAAATGTAAAAATTAACTGCCCTAGAGGAAGCCCAACGTTTTAATGCATCATTTACCTCAGACTTGCTCCAACACAGAGGGCTGGTGACCAAAGGTCCATGGATCGCAGCGGAACGTGAGACCCACATCTATGGAGAAGCTCTCCTAGAATTTCCTTCTGTAGGAGGGCTTGGCTTCCTTGTCCTGTTCCCTCCTCTTGCCAAGCACACAGTTGGCTGGCGGTTTCCCGAGACCATTGTGAGAAGTGCCTTCAAAGTCATGACGTCATGTGTGCCAGAGCATGCCTCTGGTCTGAGTTAGTTCCTGTCAGCCTTATGCGCAAGGGGAATACTGAATTAATTCCTGATGCCATTACATGCATCTCAACACGAAGATGACACCCACTGGCATAAGCATGTTGAGTCACTACATTTCCTTTCCCTAGGCTGCAAAAGCACAAGCATCGTAACTGTTTCCCAGCACAGACCCATAAGGCTGCTGGCTCCTGCCGAGAGACTGTGTGCTCCAATCTCCCAACAACTTTTGCTAGGAGTTAACACCACTGCAAGGCACAAGTTGGTCTGCCTTTCTGTCTCACCTTTTTTTTTTCTCCTGTGAAAGGAAAATAGGAGGAGTACAGAGAAAGCTATGCACCTGCCCCAGGTTGTGAAACTTGGTTTATATAAGGCTGTTGAGATTCCCCCCTCCAAAATAAAAAAAAAAAAAAAAAGGGAGGGAAGGAAGAAAAAAAAGAAATTATGGTTTGGACCAAGTTCAGGCCTTTGATGTGTGTTCTGAGTCTGGGAGCCCAAGAGACAGTTGCATGTTTAATGCCTCACTGTTTCTGTACTGGGCACAGACTGTTTTCCCTCACCATCTCCTGGATTTCACCTGATCTTATTTCAACTACCTTTTTTATGCCTATGCTTTAATACCACTTTTTTATTATTCCTTTTATTACTGAGTGAAACAATTATCGGTTTTATGGGCCATTCTCAACCCTACAGACCAGTGTGTCCCAGGGCTGTTCATCCGATGGTGGCAAGAACTTTTGCCGGGTCATCTGTGAGAGGTGCTCCAATCTGCTGGGAGGGCTGGCAGGGCAGAAGTGGAAGTCAGGATGCTTCCTAAATAAAATAAATTGAAAGGGAAAAGACGTATTTTTCACAGGGTGAAAATGCCTCCCCTCACCAAATGGGGTGAGGTAGCTAGGGTAGAAGACTGATAGCAGGGCCTTGCAGCTCTTGCTTTATGTACTTCTGCTACTACTGCACAAGCAGGACAACAAGGGAGACCACCGCTGCAAGCCATTTGTCAAGAATGCCAGAGAGATCCATCCCTGGCTTATAAACAACACCCATGGCTCTCTTCTGTGATGACTATACCTATGTTAAGGAACCCGGCAACTGGAAAGCAGAGGGAGATGATAGAAAAGGGGAAGGCCCTCGGTCCTGGATGGACAGATAGGTAGTTACTGCCTCTATGGGGACAGGTAAATTGTAAGGGAAGCTGTAATATGCCATAAAACGAGTATCTCTTGTTGAGACAGCCAGGATATCCTGTCACAGCCAGGATAGTTATGAATTTTAGTTCAAGAGTCAGTATTATTTTAGCTTACCCTTGGGGATCAGGATTCACAGGCTGGAGATGAATAAGAATGTTGTGTAAGGTTTGTATAAGAATGTTTCCCCACGAGTGGGTGTTTCTGCTCTTCACTGAGTGGTCTGTGTGATACACAGTTTAGAGAGGGCATTTGGCATAAAGCATAAAACGTATCACATTACAGGTGAGAATATGTGGGATCCAAAGTTTTTGATGGGTCTGAAGTGAGACAGCTTTGAAAATGCAGATAACTGGGTCAAATGACAAAACGTGTTATTTTACTGCCTTTTGAGGTTTTGTTTCTGATGAGTATTTGGGTCCCCATACCTCTGGCTTAGGATAGGAAAGGGAGTTTCAAGAAGGAAATATCAAGCGCAGATGACAAGAGGAGATAATAACCTGGTCTGTGGTGCAAGGGAGAGACTTGTTGGGGATCTCAGCACTGTGGAAGACTGGGGAGAACGGTGGCCTCAGAAAGAGGCATCAGAAGAACGGGCTGGTTGGAAGACAGCCAGGTGCCTTTAGACATCTTTGCTCTCTTCCCTAATTCCTACACCCCTCTGGGAATGGTCTGACTCACAGGGGCTGCTCCAAATCGCCATGCTTATCCACTAGACCCATCTACACAAGCGCATGTTCCCGGGATATCTGAATGAGACACAGCTCAGCCTGTAGCCAGGAGATGACATCCCTTAATTCTTCCTTGCCTTGAGTAACAGCTTTAGACAGCCAACCCCAGTCCTGCACCCCACCTCTGCCATGCTTCCAAGCTTTGAACTGTCAGGGGATTGGTTTAATGAAGCATGGCATTGAAATTCAGCCTCAGAGGAGGTGGAAAATTGGAAAGATAAAGCTAGGACCCATTTGTGGGAGCAAGCTCTGCCAACAAGGGGGGTGAAGCCAACCGCCCTCCCTGCATATGCATATTGTCCCCTTCATCCCACTGGGGACAGAGGTAGCCTAATAGCAGCTGTGAGTCAGAACAAGTCACAAAGGACACATTCTAGAGGAAAAGCAAAGGTAAAAATGCACACATAGGTTCTCCTGCAAGATCTGATCCTCCTGCTTGTCAGCAGTGTAACCATCTGGAAAAGTGTAATTATTGTAAATGTAAATTAATAGTGATTTGGGAAGATTATAACTTTCTCTCTCTTCTTCTTCCCCCCTCCCCTCCAAACTTTCTGATTGTGCTTTTTTTGGCAACCCAAAACCAGTAATTTGATGCAAACTCTGGCCACAAATCCAATGGAGCTTGATACGCTTTAAATGAGGGGAGGGGGGATAGGCAGGGGTGATTGCTTTAATAACTGTTCTTGGAGAAAGGCCATTGATGTGTTTTCATTACTCGGAAGAAGAAGAAAGCCAGAAAGAAAACAAGTGGCAGGACAGCCGTTAGACAATAACTATGAATAATTATAGAGTAGGGGTAAGGGGAAGTCCAGGGAATTACTTCAGGGATATAATCATGAGCCCACATCCAGGCCAGTTACTGGTGGCTAAGAGGAGGATGTATTCAAGCAATGTTTGAGGGCCCCTCTGGTTTGGGTCTGTCTCCACCCAGTCTTGCATGAGCCTGCGTCTCCATCACAGAACCCATGGTCCCCAGTGTCTCAGCAGGACCCCAAAATGTTACACGCATTCTTGACCTTACAGCACTCTGCAGACCTTCAGGGATGAGGCTCTATGCATGTTTCTGGGATGGGATGGAGACAGGATATTTTCCTTCCACAATGGGGAAGCTGAGGGTCTAAGCTGCAGCCTGGATTAGACTGGTGAGAAGCTTAATGGTCCTTTGAATCATGACTGCTCTACTACTCATTGTGGGTATTTAATGAAGGAGGCTGTACACAGGTATCCCACCAGCAGAAAACTGCAGGAACTGGAGGTGTGATAGTCAAAGGAAGGAGAAAAGAGAGTTTTCCCTAGTCAAAAGGGCTATAAATGGGAACAGTCAGTTCTTCCCTTCCCCAGATTCCACAGTAGTTTGGACGTCTCTGAGAATTTCTGCAGTACCTTAGCAGAAGGGACAGCCTGGTTTCTGAGCGCTCTTCAGAGTCAGGCTGCAGAGGTCACATCTTCTCATCTCTAGAAAGCCTTCAAACCACCCATACCCATTCCAGTCAACCACGCAGCCAGACACTCACCTATGGGGCTCTCAAAAAAATTATACCCCCCTATCCTTTGGGGAGGGGTTTTGACACATTCCTAGTGGTGATATTGATTCAGACAAGAACATTTCTAGACACACAGCAATGCAAAAGAAGATGAAAAGCCCAAATCCATCTTGGCTCACACACAGAGCAGGAGGGAATCCAGAGTGGTTGAAAGATGAAAAAAGAAAAAATAAAATCAGCACTACCCAAGAGGTTATTTTCATGCCAACTCCTCAGGCGCTATGCAAAAGTTTAGGAATGAACGTGCACAGCAGGCTTAGAAGGAGGTGATGGTCACAGTCAGGAGTTATCTCCTCTAAGGAAAACACTACTTACTCTTTGTTAATGGGGCCAGGCAGCAGGTACGTGATCACAGAGGCAAAGGGCATCCCACATCACGCCTAGCACACCCTGTAAGGGACATCTGGATTCCCAGTCAACTCCAAGCATATCTTCTACCCTAAATAATTATCCCAATGCTCACAGCAGAACCTGCAAAACCTTACAAAGGCGGAAAGGAGCGTCCTTCTGAGGACAACGCTTGTTCTAGGAGATGCCCCTCTCCAGCCATAGCAACAATCTGTTGTATTCCTGGGTCACCAATCACCATGACATCCATCTGCACAACAAGGTTTCTAAAGCTCCTTCATCTACAACCCCCTGAATTTTATTGCGCTACAAGGTAAACAACCAGACAATACCTCCAGAAGACAGCAGACTAGAGCATCTGTTCAAGTTTCTGAGAGACCATATGAATTTATACTCTTCCTTTTATTTACACCATTTTGTCTTCTGGTTATTGATGATGTTTCTCATCTGTTTTTATTAGATGCAGGTGTTTTCTGCACTTCAGCTGGGAGCACTTTCCCTTTTTAGCCAATTCCAGATCTAATTTGTGTCTCAGTCACCTTTTGACTGTGATACTGGAAGGCAGAGAGAGAAAAAAAGAAAGAGATACTGGGTTTTGCTGCCTCAGCAGATGTGTGTTAAAGTGCTTTAGTGATTCAGCTAGTGCATCTGCCTGAGGCCAAAGGAGAGGCACTGTCTGAATCTGAAACAATTAATAACAAAAAAAGCCCTACTGTGGGCAGCATGAAGCGGGGGAAGGTGGAAGTGAAAAGGGAGCAAATAACAGGAATATTTCCAGCTTGCAGAGCACCTTGGCAAGATCTCCAACTGCTTTCAAAGACAGCCCTGCAAACCTACCCAGTCCCCTCCAAGATACAGAAGCTTCATCAGCCCTATTGCACATATAAGGGAAACTGAAGGTGCTTTTGCAATCCATCTACAGTCATCCAGCATCTCTGGAAGAGTGCCAGCCTCTCACCAGAACCAGAAAGCACTTTCTTGATGCCCCAGGGAAACATGACCCCATACACAAGCCCACGCCTGCAGCACTCATGGCTGGATGGTGGGAGAGTTACAGCACCCACTTCTTGTTGGCCCACGCATGTGTTCTAGTAGGGAGACTGCCACTTGCCTCATGCTTGGGGACTGCTCTCCAGTCCTTTCAGAGCCACCAGCAATACAATGACCTCTGCTCTCCGCTCCAGCTGGGAAGGTGCAAAGGGGAACCTATGTTGTCTGCTTATGACGAAACATCTGTCTTCCCCATTAGCAGAAGAAACTCATTTTGCACTGTGCTCAGTCAAGAGGAATTTGCCTCCTGAGCCACTTCTGCCTCTACCATTTAAACACCCAGTACCTCCTTTATGCTTCAGTCCTTGTGAAAGGCTCCAAGGACATCCCAATGCTCAGGATCTGATGTCCTTCACTTGCCAAATCCCCTCACCTCACAAGCTAACTCAGGTGAGGCATGGGGAGATGAAGACACCATAGGCACCAGTCACCACTGGAAATCTTGGCAGCCAAACCTTGATAACATGAAACAGAGCCAACACAGCCCTGCAGAACACCCAGGCTCTGATCTGGTGGGGGGAGACTCCATTTCTACATGCGGTTTAAAATTGATACCCCCATGAGGCATGTTAGAAAGCAAAACATTGATGCTGTCTTCACTGGAAGCATCGGTTGCTTTGTTTTTTTAATGACACGGCAAGCTGCTCGCAAAGAGATAACTTCATTCAGCCTAGCCCTTGCTGGATGTGGAAGGAAGTCCTTGGAGGTGACTCTCCAACGTATCCAGTATGCCACCTAGCCCTCGCTAGCTCTACTACACCCAATGATGCATGACGGGCTGCTCTCTCCTGCTGGAAAGGGGCTCCCAGTGTGAAGCTGCAAACATTTGCTCCGGTTATCACCGCAAGTAAGAAGGCATATTCCAAGGGAAAGACAAATATCTTGGGAAGAAATCACGTTCTACTTCTGACACTCAACCCAGTCTCTACACAAAGTGAAACACTGTGTTGATATCTGCACCATGGGCTGTTGCTCATCTTTCCTTTCTGCACTTCTGTCTCAGACTTGCCCCATCAGTTCCACTTCTGGCACTTGTCATTTTTCCCTCCAAGGATGAAATATTGGCTCATTTTCATGACGATGCTTCAGGCACCTGATTTCACAACCTACTTATTCTCCTGTATAAGCATTATTTTGCTAATGAGTTTCAGATCTACACAAACTGGACAGTGGTTTTGGAGGGAGAAAAAAAAAATCTCACGCTTATATCTGTGATTCAGCTTGTAATCTTTCTAGATTGCCTGGACTTGTTTGATGTTCTAAGTGCCTCCAAAACACACAGATTAGTCCAAACTGATTAAAGTGTATGTTCCATCCTCTTTATCTTACCCTTAAAAGTCAGTGCTTTTGCACATTACAGAGAGTATGGTAATGAAGTGTGACGTATCTGAGATGTAAAGAACAGTTAACTGCTGTCCAAATAATTAATTCTCTTTTTGCAACACAGCCATATGTAACACATGAAGCCTATGGCAATGAAGTATATTAGAAGATGCTAACAGAAACCTTGGTTTCCTCTGAACACTCTCTCTTTACTCCCCCAGAATAAGAAAGTATGTCTTACAAACACAAAACATGATTGTGATCTGCCTTGGAAGAGCACAAGCCAGGAGAAATGTGATCTTTGTTAGCTGCAGGCTCTCCGACAGCTCACGACCAGCCATACACTGCACACTGCCCTGTTGCTGTCTTACTTTCCCAGGGTAGAGGGTATTTTTTGGCGTCAGCATAGGACGCCAAAAAGACAGCCCTTGTGAAGAGCAGGAACAGCATGCACCAGGAGGTCATCTGCAGCTCCATCCCAACTGCTGGGCTCAGTGGATCAATACAGGTGGTAGCCCCATGATCCCCATAGCTGAGACCAGTTTCATCATGCGGGAGAAAACCTGCCACCAGGGCACATCTCATAGCTAAAAACTTGTCATCTTCTGATTGACGATATGACTTGGTTTCCAGGTGTGTTTTCGTAGATGAATGTCTTCACGGCACAGCACAGGAGTGAAATCAGGGTGGCCACAGGACAACTTCACACCTCCTGGATTTCTGACTGCTCTGAAAGCCCAAGAGAAAGTTCCTGGACAGCCCTAATTAGAGCAGCTTCCCCAGGGATACATTGCAGGATCTCTGCCCCACGGCAATGCAGCCGTGCCCAAGCTTCCTGTGCCAGGGCTTGCAGCTGGGCTCAATGGAGGCAGTTCTCTACACGCCTCACCATTTTGTGTCTCGCAGGTTGGAGTGGGAGTGAAACCTCTCCTCCAGCCCTCCAGAGACTCTCACTGTCTCCATAGCAGGTGTTAATATACAGGGCACACTGTTTCTTAACGGGTACAAAACAGAATGAGGAGAGCAAATTCCCTCCTACCCTAAGACCTTTCACAAAGTGCTTCCAGATCTCCAGGTGAACAGTGCTCGCTCTCTGCCCAGTGCTGCTTTTTGCAAAGCACCCATTCAGACCGGTGGCAGATGCATGTACTTAATATGCTGCGAAAGTCATGTCAACTGAAGAAACCATTTTAAATCGCTTCTAGACAAAGTCTTAAGGGATTGCTTTTCTTACCTTAAGCATGCTTTTTTATTTATTTATTTTTCCAGTTAACTGTGCTCTAACCAGAAATTAAGGTAGTATTAAATAAAACCTCTGCAAACCCTCTTGGTAGAAAGAAAAAATAAAAGGCTTAGAAATGCAACTTTCGGGGTTCTTTCAAGGGTAGGAGGGAAGAACAGGAGAGAGCTGATCTTTACTACACAGTCCACACGGGGTAGGAAGGCAGTAAACAAGGAACACTTCAGAGGTGCAAAAAAAAGCCTTAAGAGTGAAAATTTTGGAGAAGAAGGAGTTAACGCTTTTAAGCAACCATCTCTTCTCTTACCATAGATAAGGGTGCATTCTAGTGGCAAAATCCATGCAATGCAGCTGCACAGATGACTGATCTAAAAAGAAACCTGTGGAATATGAGGCTTTGGAGGAGTGTGTGCACATGGGGGGGGGGGGGCGGGGGAGGGGGGAAGACTTGAATCGCACGTAAACCTCACCAGGAACTGTCCGATCGCTTTTAATTTCCCACTGTCCTGGTCGATAACCCTGTGCTTGCGCTCCTGAGTGAGCCCGTAGCCCTTGGCTCTGCCATTCTGCCGGCGGACTCAACTCATCCTCCTGCTCCAGGTGTAACACCCGCTGCACAGCTGCCGGGGCGGGCCGCACACCCCACGCTTCCAGCTTCCCCGCTCCTAGCAATGCATGAGCATGAAGGGAGGCAAGTGCGAAGGACCACGGCCCTGAGCTCTGTAACCCTTAGGTATGCAGCGGTGGAACAAAAGACAACAGCCCCAAGCTGCCCAGAACAGAGGATGAGCACTGCAAAGCGCTTTTTCTTTTCTTCCCATCTCCCTCCCCACTTTGTGCAGGGCAAGAGGCAGAAGAAGAATGAGCTAAAACGTGCAAAATGGACTTCACATGGCAAAATTCCCCTTGTTTTCTGGCATGCCCTAAGCAACAGCGAACTTTTCCAAAGAGGAATCTAAGAGTTCTTACAAGCAGCCCAGCCCTCCCTCCTGCTCACTGTCCGGCGGGGTTAACCCTTGCTGTTTGGGAGTATCATGGGCGCACCCTGGCACCGGGCAGAGCCTCACTGCGGTTTTACACCGGGCAGAAGGGCAGGAGAGGCGAGCTGGGCACCCTGCGCACACACAAAGGCTCCTTCCCAGGCCAGGGGGGGTGAGAGCGGCTCCTTGGCGCGCATCCAGCCATCTCCCTCCTGTACTCACCTTGGGAGCTGAGGGGTAGGTGGGTGAGCCCGATCCCCGCTCCGATGGCCCCCAGCCCCCCAGGCAGCAGTTGGGGATCCCTGCCCCACCAGCACAGCGTACAGCTGAGGCAGGATCAGGCCCTGCTAACTCACCCCTAAATGCAGAGCCCTGACCTCTCCCTCCCTGACTCCCCACAGCCCAGGCTGCTGTGCAACCCAATTGCAACCACTTTTCTCCTTTTCTCCTTTGCTTAAACCGTGAAGATCTGAACTTCTCCCCCCTCCTCTCTTCCCCTCCCCATCCTCGCCTTTCCCTTCCCCCTCCTCCTCCTCCCCTTGTCTCTCCTCATAATATTATCCTTGATCAGTGCCCGGGGTTTGAAGCCCAGAAGTCAGGAGCGGCGCTCCCCACCCCCACCGGCTCGAGTGCGCACTGATAGGGCCCTCTCTGCTGGCACCTAGTCAAGCTGAGGTGTCATTGGGATCTCAAATTGCAGCGAGGGGCTGGCAGGCAGCCAGGGGCAGTCTATTTAAAAGACAGCCTGTTCTGCAGTATTCAGTCTCTTTAGAAACTTCTCCAGGGGAAAAGTGTTGGGAGATCTACAAAGTGGACTTTTTTTTTCCTTTTTTTCCTTTTTTTTTTTCCCCTTCCCCCTGTTTTTTACCGCTCCTCTGCAGACTTTGCAACAAAACACTCCAACTTTGCAGAAACTTTTCTTTTTTATATTTTTAATATTTTTGCCTTTTCTAGTTTTTTTTTCTTTTTTTCTTTCCGGCTTTATTTTGCCTTTGCAAATCCTGGAAGAGGAAAGCGGGAGGGTTGAACAGAGCCGATCGAAACACAACTTTGCTTCGTACCAGGCTTCCCAGCACCTCGCTGCGTCGGGAGGGACTGTTTCTCTTCCTGCAGAAGAAGAGAGAGGGAAGGGGAGCTTTGCATCCCCTGTTCCCTCTGCTGCGTGTTGGGTTTCGTTTTTTCTACCCCTCTTGACTGCTTTGATGCATTAATAGCAGGACACTGGTTTTCAAGGAACTTTGCTCCCTTCCCACCCTGCCTCCTCCCAGCCCTTTGGGAAGAGTGTGTGTGTGCGCGTGAGTGTGTGAAACCGCCGTCCCACCTCCCCAAACCCCCCTGCTCCCCTCCGCCTCCCCCTGCAACCTGTAGGCTGTGCAACCCCTGCAGGCTTTGCTCCCTTTCCCCCCCTCCTTCCTTCCCCTCTTCTTTTTGCGCTCCCGCAGATTGCTGTGCGAATTCCCCCTTCCGAGGCGAGAAAAAGCAGAAAGAAGGAGAAAACGGACAAAAAGACAAAAAGCAAACCTAGAGCCCCCCCCCCCCCCCAACGCCAAAAGCAAAGCAGGAGGGTCTAGCACCCCGAGAATAAACCCCAGAGCGGGGCGCCTGCACGCAGGGGCTGCACTTTCCGCCCTTCTTGAATTTTTATTTTTGTTTCTCTTTTTTGCCCCAGAAGGGGCAAGCGGGAAGCCAGCGCAGCCCGCCCCCCCCCCCCCCCCCGCGGCACCCCCCGCACCCCGTCCCGCAGCATCCCCGCCGCGATGCTGCTGCGGCTCCTGGTGCTGCTGGGCGCCTGCCCGGGGCTCTCGCGGTGCCTGGGCTCCTTCGTGCAGTGCGAGCCCTGCGACGGCAAGGCGCTGTCGCTGTGCCCGCCGCCGCCGCTGGGCTGCGAGCTGGTGAAGGAGCCCGGCTGCGGCTGCTGCCTCACCTGCGCCCTGCCCGCCGGCCAGCCCTGCGGCGTCTACACCGAGCGCTGCGCCCGCGGGCTCCGCTGCCTCCCGCGGCAGGGCGAAGAGAAGCCGCTGCACGCCCTGCTCCACGGCACCGCCGTCTGCCTCAGCGAGAAGAGCTACCGCGAGCAAGCCAAGGCCGGTGAGTGACGCCCGCCTCGCCCTCCCTCATCTTTCCCGGGTTCTTTTCCGTTCTGCCCGCCTGCTTTTTCCACCCCATCACCGTCTCCCGGCTGCATTTTCCTCTCTTCCTGGGTGTTCTTCCGTCCCCTCCGCTTGCTTTTCCGCCTTTCCGGCTCCCTTTCCATCTTTCCGCTGGCTTTTCTACTCCCTCCCACTGACTGCTCTTCCCTGCGCCCCCTCCCCCCGCCCGCCTTCCTGTTCTTCCGGCTGCTTTTCCATCTTCCCAGGTGCTCTTCCATGCACCCGCTTGCTTTTTCGCCTTCCCGGCTACTTTCCCGTCTTTCCACCCGCTTTTCCATTCCCACTCTTCCCCAGCTGCTCTTCCATCCCCCCTCGCCCGCCGTGTGCTTTTCTGCCTTCCCGGCTGCTCTTCCATGCCCCTCCACCACCACTAGCTGCTTTTACATCTTTCTGGCTACTTTTACATCTTTCTGCCTGTTTTTTTTTTTTTGTCTCTCTCATATACACACATATACAGACCCCAGCTGCTTTTCCATCTTTCCAACTATTTCCCCATTCCTTCCCCACCCCTTCCACCAGCAGCTTTTCCAAGCCCGATGGTTCTTTTCCATCTTTTCTGGCTCCTTCTCCACCACCACCACTTCCCTTGTCTGCTCTGTCCTCTCCATATTGCTTTTCAACCTTCTTTTTCCATCTTTCCGGCTGATCTTCCACCCCTCCCATTTGCTTTTGCATCTTTTCCAGCTGCTCTTGCACCCCCTTTGCTGTTCTTCCATGCCCCCCACTGCTTTCCCATCCTTCTTTGCATCCATGCCCTTGTTGAACCTCCTGTTGCATCATCTCACAGCCTCCCCCCAAACCACCCCCCCCCCTTAAATCATGACCTCTGGGTTGCCCTATCCCCAGTGGAAAGCTTTTCTTCCGCCACCTCCCAGGTGCACCCTCTTAGTCACAGCTGCATCCCAGTCATTCCCCAGTTGCATCCTTTACATTTTTCCTGCATCCCCATCCTCATCCTCTCCCTGACCCCTTTCTCTTACTGTATCTTCCACCTTGCTGTGGGGCCCAAATTGACCTCTGCAGGTTGACATACAAGGGAGGGCAGGGCACCTTCTTGCAACCACCTGCCCCACCCCTGAAGTCCTCAAGCACCCCAGGGTTCATTGCTCAAACTCCCACTTTCCCCTCACCATCACTGCAGCCCTCTCCTCCTGCCTGACCACTGCTGGACGCCTTTGCTGGGCAGTGGGTTTTAGCCCAGGGAGGTGAAGAGAGCAGGTGCATTGGGAGCAGGGGATCTGCGATTGCAAAAAATAATGATAGTGTCGCTAATAATCAGAACAGGTTAAAAGCAAGCACGAAGGCTGGTGTGGTAGTGCCAGTGCAAAGCCAAGCTTCTGAAATATTTGCACCTTGCACGTGACAAAAGCACGAAAGTAAGCACTCCTCCTCTTTGGCACTCGTTTAACTCCCATTTCTGGATCCTGCAGCTTGTGCAAGGACGCTTTCCCTTTACTCCTTCAAATACATTTGTATTTCTGCCACACGGTGAAGAGGAGGCAGGGAGGGTTTCTGCATGTTCAGGGGACCAGGGAACCACTTGCCAAAAAAAAAACAAAAAAACAAAAAAAGCCAGAAACGAGCCCCCCACTTTTTTTTGTTACATGAAAAACTCATTTTTGCATGTTAGCAAGCTTCTGCTCATACCCGCGCAATGGGAATCCGTTCCTCCTTCCTAGCACCTAATAAATCTTGATGGTTTTATTATTTTTCCCTTAGCTGCTTGCAGGCAGTGGTTGTGTTGCTACGCTCCATCCTTCAGAGCAAAACCAACTTCTGTGTGTATAAATTCCCCTCTCCCTCAAATGACAACAAATGTCCAAACTCCCTTGAAGCCATACAGAAACAGCAAAGCTGAGCTTAGTTTTCTGAAGGGGAGCTGGAAGGGATGAGGGTTGGAAGGGGACCCACGCAGGGCAAAGCCAGGAGCTGAGTTCTTGCCGTGGAGCCCGAGAAGCTGGGCAATAACTCGCTGGCAGCAGAGCTATATGAAGTATCCGGGAGCGCATCATCGCTGGTGTTTATTTACTCTGCGAGTGTGCGCGCAGCCAGGGGCAGGCGCTGTGCTCGGGAAGGCAAAGCTGTGCAGCTGAAGCCCAGCAGCACCGAGGACACAAGGGCTGTCTTTCTGCCCATGACACAGGTGACCCATGCAGACAAAACAAAGGCATCTGAAAAAGCTGTGGTGCTTGGTTACCAGCAGGAATCTAACTTGGTTCCACCTGCTTTGCTCTCCCCAAGGAAACTAGTCCTTTAACAGGTGTTTTGTGTGAAAACCTTGTAGTATTACAGGGTTTGGTTTTGTTGGGATGGGGAGCACCTGTTGAATGAACAAGGAGAGGGATAGGAAAGAGGTTGCAGGTTGGTTGCAAAACCACCCCCCAGCACTACCTGCGCTTCCAGTTTGGACTCCCTGAGCACTGCAGGGGGCTCTTTTTGACAGGTTTTGTTCGAAGCTGAGAGATGAGCCTGGATCCAAAAGGCTGCTGCAAGGAGCTGTGGGAGACCAGCAGGCTCCTCTTGAGATTTGTGAGATTGCAAAAAAGAAACAAAAAATAAATTAGGAATTCCTGAGGATGGGAGAGGAAAAAAACTCCTGGCATTCTACTGGTAGCGTGTGAGAACAAAGTATATTTTCATAGGCGTGTTCCTAAGCAACGGGGCAAGGAAAGAAATTAAGTTTGACTTGAACTCTCTGGCCTCTGCCAGTTTGGCCAGCAGTGCAGGGACCATGCGCTGGGGAAGCTGGCCTGGCCCTCCCATCTATCAATGACCAAAATTGGCCCTGAGCTGTGAACCGCTGAGAAAGAATCAGCACTCTGCAAAATAAACTATGTGACAGTAGCGAGGACTAGATCAAACTGCATTTCTGTCTATTTCTGCTCTTGGCGCTGGCCGAGTTCAAAATCACAGATGCTTTCCTCTTTGTAGTTGAGGTGGAGAAGCAACCAGCGGTATTACAAGAGCCCAAGCCTGGGAGGCTGGGCTTGGCTCTTCTGTAGACCAGATGTCTTGCCTGAGGACAAGATGCTCCCAGGTACCATGCCTCAGTTTCCTCATCTTTAAGCTGTGCACAGCTGTACTGACAAATGCTGGACCTACTGAGCAGAATATGTTCATGGTTTGCTGAGAGGTCGGAAATGAAAGAAAGAGTGGGATTAGAGGGCTTTGGTAAGGCTCATTTTAAGTAGACCAGTGTGTAGGTACTGACAGGACAGTCCCTGTAATCCTTCTTGGCACAACTGTCCTTTACCGAAAGCCAAATATTACGGCCGTAATTGAATGTTCCTGGTAAAACAACATGAATGAGCTTCATTTATGGCACAGGCTGCAGGATTCTGGGTTTTCTCTGTTTTGTTTAGGTTTCCTTTGAAATACACCATGTCTTTCCATTTTTCTGCCCCATGCTCCTGCCAGACTTCCTCCTGCTGAGACAGCAAGGTCAGGCCGGGAGCTGGGGAGCGGAGGGCACAGATTGGAGCCTGCTACCCTTAAAAAGGCTTGTGGAAAAACAAAGGTTGTCAAATATTTCCTTCTCCTCTCTCATTCCTGCTCTCTTTCTAGAAAGCGAGCAAGACTTGGCAAGTTTCCGCACGAAACTGTGAGCCAACGATAACCAGGAGGGGAAAGGAGGGGGGTTGCAGAATTAGCCCTAAGAAAATCGTCTTTGCTGCGTCAGATGGAAGTAGGCGGAGTAGGAACGCTACCAAGCCCAAGTTTCCTGCGGCTCGTGTTCAGTGAAGTCCTTTATCCCTTCCCAACTTATTTCCCCCCCTTCCCCCCCCCCCCATTTTTCCTTCCTGTGCTCTTCTGCTCCCCATTCAGGGATGCAGGGCTTCAGGAGTGAGCAGTGGGGATGTGGCAAGGCAGGTGGGCAGCTGAGATCTGGGGTCCAGGGTGAGGGTGAAGGTTAGGGCAGGGGTCATGGGAGCGGGGCGCTTGGGATGCACCGTCTTGCAGCCATGTGTTGCTCGGGGAGGGACCCGGCTGGTGCAAGCGGCAGGTCCTTTGTGTGAAGCAGCTCCCGAGCTGTCAAGGCAAAAGCTAGTAGCAACAGGCCTGCAAAGCTTCAGATCCAAAACAGGAAAATCTCCATTTTTCTTTTGATCTGAAGTTTCAACAACAATAACAATATATTAAAAAAAAAAATTAAATCCATCAGGTGCCAGCAAGAGCCGGGTTTCTGCGGTGTGTGTACGGGGGAGGGAGGGATGGGGTGGTTCAAACAGGAAAGGAGGGGCCTTGGCTGGAAAGATTTTTCTGCAGCCTGGTTTCTAAGGAAGGAGGGAGAATATTAAGTAGTCGATCCAAATGAAATTCCTGCCGGGTGCCAGCGGAGTTCACCGGAGAAAAGACATGGCTCTGTGCATGTGTGCATGCATGATAGATCTGGTCCCCACCTCCCGCGCAGCGCTGTCAGCCTGGACCCGCTCCAGGTGAATGAAGGGAGCCCCTCCAGAGCCTGTACTGCTGCAGGGGAGAACTGGGGCTGGCCTTAAATGGGAGCCCCCGCAAACCTGAGAGGTGGCTGTGTGCCTCCTCCTGTCGGTATTTAAGCACCAGCATCCTGTGCCCAGATGTTCGTTGCGGCTGTGGCATGTCAGTGTGTGACCAGAGTTGTGTGCGACTGAAGTGTTTGCATGATTGCGGGCAGAGGTGTCTCCTCAGGCCCAGAAGAAGGGAGTAGGAGAGCTCGGGTATGTTTTGTGCCAGCTTCAAGACAGCCCCCGGTTTCTTTTGTTGTGTAGTTTGGCCCACATGTGTCAGGGCAGACAGGGAGGAAGAAGAGAAGAAGAAGCGAGCTGGCACTGCCTTGCACAGAGTGTGGTCCTCTGCTTCCTCCTAACGTCCGCTGGAAGTTTTACTCATGCTGGGCTGAAAGACATCACGGATGTGAGAGTAGCTGTGGGAGTTTTTACAGTGGGGATGGTTCTCTGT